AATCTGAAAAGTCAATTTGGACGAGCGCGAGGTACGCCGAACGCAAAGCAAATACGGAGTTCAGGATTCAGGATTCAGGAGCAAGAGATAAAGACGAGCACAGAAGGGGATTTATAGTGAATTATCCCTAATTTTCCTTCGGCTTGGAAACGAAGCTGGATAATTTTGGAAGAGGAGATACGATTATTCACGCCTAGTACCTCATTTTTATAGCTGTTGACAAGCGGTAGCTATAAAAATCGTATCAAATCGTATCTCCTGTTCCCAAATTGTCCATTTTTGCTTACAAGCTGAAGGAAAATTCGGGAGAATTCACTGCATTCAGAATCCGTAAATTCAAAGCTGAATTTAGATTCGAGAAACTGTAATTATTTTTATCGGTGACAAGAGATCGAATCGAAATAATCCAAGGACGCGAGATCCAGTTCAGTAAAAGGCTGACTTACTGGAACTAATCCTACTCAAGACACGGAGACCTAAGAGACATGGCCATAAAAAATCTCAACATCTCAACGTCTTACGATTAGCTTGCCGATTTTTGTGCGAAATAAAAATTCTTTGCATCAATTCTGCAGAACATGGGATAGACAAAGAGGACTCTCTTTTACTCCCTTTTTTAATAGTTTCAATAAATTGAGTATAGTGTCAGAAGATTCTTCGGTTCTTCTTCAGTGTCCTGTATTTCATTCTTGTCATAAATGCATCGAATTTGCAGTCTACTTATCCCTTTCATGGGCACAGTATGAATTTTCAAGAATACTTCAATTCAATAAGAATTTTCAATGCTGGGAATATTTAATAATAGGGAATATTTAGTAATATTTAATAATATTTAATAATAGATGTTATAGTGATTTCTTCCAATTTTGATTACACCTTCGTGTAATGGAAAGCTCGACATATTTGATATGTTTATATCGTTTTGCATCATTCACATTCGAGAGTTAAAAATAATTTTGAAACAGTTGCGAACGATATTCGATCGTCAACGTCGCAAATGATCAATTACTATGAATACATTGCACATGCTATAGTATCTTTTACATAGGCAAAATCGGAAATTATAGTTCACAGTGCTATAGATCATTGGTCCATATTTCATATCTTAAGAAAACATTTATATCTTTACAACAGAACGACAAACTAGTTTACAACGGAACAAAATAAAATAGAGCAAAAAACTAGCCTAATTCAAAGATCTTAATCGATCCGTTTGCTCGCACAAATTCGGCGGGGAAAGTCGCACGAGCCATAAAAGCTTGCTTGAAATGCACAGCCAACCACGACTTTAAAAATCAATCTGAAAATGGCTGCAGCTTAAAAAGAAAAAAAAACCCGTACAATATTTTCTATCGGATGTAAAAATCGACTCGAAGGTAAACATCGAAAGCGGACAGTAGCATTCCTCGATAGTTTCGAAATCGCTCCTTCATTGCCAGCTGGAACTTCATTGGAAGCTGCGGAATCTCGGCAGAGCGATTCTCTCTTAAATACCGAATGCACGGCTGTTGCTTTCCGCTGTTGTGTTGTACGCGGCTGCGTCATTCGAAATGCCGCGTACAAATTGATATATCCGTACATCGATTCTTCCACTTATCGTGGAACGTCGCTTCATGGTTTAGCAACGGTGGCACACTGAACCAACGGAATGCGGCCAAATCCGCGGACGTTGCACGCAATCGTTACGCGAATAAAGGTGTTAGGATTTATGAATGCGCCGCCATTAGATCCTCCCGATGACGCGCGGTGCGCTTACGATCCGGCTGATAAAGCGACGCTGAATCGCCGATCAGCTGATCCGTTCGATAATCGCCGCGGACAGGCTCGCAACAATTAATCTATTTTGCATGAGGAGGCACGAGGAAATTGTTCCAAACGTCCCGCAGCTCTTGTCCTTCGCGAGCGCGCGTGTAGTTTTAGGAGTGTCGGCTTAATTGGGGTTAATGGAGGCACATCTGCATCGCAATAATGCTTCGGCTTCAAACGCTCCAGCGACGAGAACGTTAAATACTTGCATTTTCGTATCAGCGCTCGCGTGTTGATTACTTTCCGCGTTCGGAACGCGACCGGCCGCAAGCGGCGTGCACCTCGCGGGAACTCCGCGCCGCCGCTGCAAGAAGTATATTTAATTCGAGTTTTTGTCAAATTGTGTAATAGGTCAATTGAGCGACAAGTGACTCACGTGGACGGTATCGTTCCAACGAATTAGGAATTAACCTTCCACCTTGCGCGACGTGTTTCCCCATTTTCTTTTATCTCGACCCTCGTCGTCGATGATGAACCGCTGATAGGAAAGATGCCAGGCGTTTTTAAATGGCAACGACGGACAAATTGAACTGCACGCGATGCTTTATTCAATTTCACGAGGTTTTTGGATTTAATTAATTAGATATACTTCGGCAGTTTTCATTCGTTTCGTATTTTAATTTTGTCTGTTGCGTTTCATTCGTAATCTCGTATTTTTTAAATTACGATGTGAAAAGCGGATGAATCTTAAAATTACAATGTAAATGTAGACGGATACAGGATCTTAAAATTACAATGTAAATGTAGACGGATACAGGATCTTAAAATTACAATGTAAATGTAGACGGATACAGGATCTTAAAATTACAATGTAAANTTAATTTTGTCTGTTGCGTTTCATTCGTAATCTCGTATTTTTTAAATTACGATGTGAAAAGCGGATGAATCTTAAAATTACAATGTAAATGTAGACGGATACAGGATCTTAAAATTACAATGTAAAAGTAGAGGGATAAAGAGAATCTTAAAATTACAATGTAAAAGTGGAGGAATTAAGGATTAAAAAATTACAATAGGAAAGTGGAAAAATAATGAATTTTAAAATTACAACGAAAAAGTGGAGGAGTGAAGAATTTAAAAATTACAGTGTAATAATGGACGAATAAAGAATCTTAAAATTACAATGTAAAAGTAGAGGAATTAAGAATTAAAAAATTACAATGGAAAAGTGGAAAAATGAAGAATCTTCAAGTTACAATGGAAAAGTGGAAAAATGAAGAATCTTCAAATTACAATGTAAAAGTGGAGGAATGAAGAATTTAAAAATTACAATGGAAAAGTGGAAAAATGAAGAATTTTACAAGTATATAGAGAACGTGAAGTATACGTTGTAAATAGTTGTAAATAATATTTACAAGCAATTGTGTGCACACGAAGAATTCGATTTTCCGGATAAGATTTTCCTGCGTTTCTCTCGCTATAGGGAACGAGTAAAATGTAAATGACCTGCGAGTAGGATAAGGAAAAATCAAGAAGTGAATGTAACGTGTGGTTGCACATTTTACGACGTACAAGATAAAAAAATATCTGCGGAACACGCGTCAAGCTGGGATTTCCCGTTCACAGAGGGTATCAGTGTGCAGAATGCATCTTGATAATCGATTGTCCAGACATTTCCTCGTCAGAAAGCGTATTTACGTAGTTGATTTTTGAGGATCGATAAATCATCGACACATTCAAATGACTCTGTTGCACAGGGCGCCTAGAAACCTGATCAACTATTCCCAAGTTTTTCTGTATTCTGGAAAATATTATCCTCCCTCTAACTGATTTCTTTATTTCGAAACCAAAAAAATATTATCAATTTAAAAGAAAAAAGTAAAATTCAATCGCGAACAAAATTTCCGCCATTTTTGAAGACATTTCAGCATCATCGATTCAGCATCATCGAACAAAGGGCCTTGACATCACGCTTCTCGAGCAACCTAACTTAAAAAACCTAGTTGCACTTCCCACGTAGATGTGTCGATTATGTGAATTAACAAGGTTTTTAAAAACGTATCTGACAATTACAAAAATCATGTACAACTGTATAAATACTACTTAAAGATTCAGATAAGCTTAAATAAACAAAAGATAGTGTAATCTTGGATTAATCGTTATCATTAGACTGTGAATTATATTCATTCATGTATAAAGAAAGATTCGAGAAACAGAAATACAAATAAAAGCTTAAATAAACCAAAAATAATGTAATCGTATAACAATCGTTATCATTAGGCTGTGAATTATATTCATTCATGCATAAAGAAAGATTCGAGGAACAGAAATATAAATAAAAGCTTAAATAAACCAAAAATAATGTAATCGTATAACAATCGTTATCATTAGGCTGTGAATTATATTTATTTATGCATAAAGAAAGATTCGAGGAACAGAAATATAAATAAAAGCTTAAATAAACCAAAAATAATGTAATCGTATAACAATCGTTATCATTAGGCTGTGAATTATATTTATTTATGCATAAAGAAAGATTCGAGGAACAGAAATATAAATAAAAGCTTAAATAAACCAAAAATAATGTAATCGTATAACAATCGTTATCATTAGACTGTGAATTACACGCATTTATGCATAAAGAAAAATTCAAGAAATATAAATATAAATAAATGCTTAAATAAACGAAAAATAATATAATCGTATAACAATCGTTATCATTAGGCTATGAATTACACGCATTTATGCATAAAGAAAGATTGAAGGAACAGAAATACATCGGTGCATTATCTTCGCCCCACTGAAACGATCACAGAAACCAAAGAACTGCAAAATTGGCTGCAGCCGCACTTGCAACAGCATGACCAAATAAATTTCACGGTATTAACCCCGATATTCAAGAAAGTATCCGTCAGAAAAAAGACCGCACGGGTTCCTTAGACCTTGAAATCTGTCATAACAGGGAAAGTGGAGATTTTCAGAAAGCGGCTCCGGCCCAATCACCGACGACGACGACGACAACGACGATTCACCGGAAAGCGTTTTCGAACGCTTTCGTCGTGCTGACCTCGGCTTTGTCTCGATCATCGAGCACACCTCGTTCCCCCGCATTTCACCCCCGTCCACGAATGCATTATCGGCGTACGGGGCAACTGCATGAAAGCGATCGGAATAACCCCACCCACTACCTGCTGCGTGGTACCACGGACTCGTTAAGGAACGCGAAATGCCGGTGGATCAATTGTGCAGCGTTCATCTGTGTATTTACGGTCGTGCCACGAAGCCGAGTTGGACGATCCGAGCGAGCGGCCGAGTCAGTTTCGCACGAGCAAGACGCGCGAGCAAACGCTTTTCTCGCACATTTTAGTCGATCGCCGTAGCTCGCGCACGACGCATGGCCGCACAGAGTGCCGCTCTCTCACGATCCAGAGATCTCGAATAGAATTATCTCTCGCGCGAGCCGGCAAAAAAACATCGTAGGAAAACACCGCCGATCGAAGGCTCGCACGTGCGCCACACCGATAACAGTTTCGATCCCGTTCGCATCGATCGATCCCGCCTTAAATCTGGAACATTCTTCACGCCGGTGGACTCGGTGGACTCTCTCCGTTCCCCGAGAAAACGACCCCGTTGTCGCTGGGCCTTTTACGGGACCGGCGGGCACAGGCCCTTCGCTTCGCTCCGGACACAACGCTCTCCTCGTTTTCCGCACGGACGCGAATTTCTCGCGTCGCCGGGCCCGCCGATAGATCGGGCTCCAAGGTGCGCCGGCCGCTGTCGATTGGCGGGAAACGATCGGCAACGTTTTATTGGGAATAATAAAACTGGCTCGCTCGTAATTGTGCGTCGGCGTCGATCGCGGCACTGCGATACGCAAGCTGCGCCGGAAAAGCGGACCGCGCTCCGGACCGAGTGAAAACACCGGGGAACACCTGTTCGCCGCGCCGTGATCAACAGGTAAGGGACAGAGCCTGCTTTCCCTAACTTTCCATTAAACACCGACCGTGTCTTCCGATGTCTTTTTGTTCGATCAATTTGACCAGAACCATTTTCTTTTATTAACGCTTCGCAACGATCGACGCGCGGTTTCTCCGATTTTTGGCGACGCTCGTCGCTGCGTTATCTAGCGAGCGATAAATTTAAATTGAATAAATAACGCAAGAACAACGGTGACAATAAAAACAGAACGATAGTCGATTCAAAAGTTCGCGGCTCGACGTCTCGACGTGTCCCGCGAACCTAGTGTCAATCGTTTCACGCGTTTCCCACGCGCGTTCTTTGCGCGCGCTTTCACTTCGCAATCAAATTGCTAATCGAGGGAGCATCGATTCTTTGCGTGTCGAGCAGTCGGCAACGATCGTTATTAGACGACGGATTTTTCACGCATCCACGGCAAATACGACCAGCCGAATATGTACGTAATACAAAACCGCGGAGACGCGAGCGGAATCTCGTAACACCGTCGCGGTGCGTCGAACTCGGCGAAATTGCAAAGAGGAGAAATGACTTAATATTTTTATTATTGTATTTTATTATCGTTCACGAAGATCCACGCGGTCTGATCGATGCGAAAAGGACATCGATCAAGGATTTCTGGCGTTTGTTTGAAATCTCGTTCGCCGACCGTGCCTCGTGTTCGATTCGGCTCGAACCACCTTTTTTCCCGTGATAATCGTTCGCTGCAGTTGCGCCGACGTGCCTCGCATGTGCTCGTTATGACATAAACGCGCGAAGCCAGTAGTTTCGCGACAAGATATTCCTCGGCTCGTATTTATGTTCGCGGCGCCTCGTTCAACGTGCCTGAATATATTTCACGCTGATCGAGACAGACCAGAGTCGCCCGTCCGTTTGCGCCGGATCAACGACAGCGATATTTCACTCTTTCGCGCCGAAAAACAGATCTGTCCCGTTCTCCCGGCTGCCACCCAGACGGGATCAGAAGTTATCGGACACGAATTCCTAGTTATTGGTTAATCGTTAAATTATTCGTTGGCACACGAATCGACGGCTGTTAAATACATATTGTGAGCCGCGAGATAAGGACAAAAGCGTCACGATATTTCTTATCGGACGGTCTGTATCGTTATGCTTCGCGTATCGGCGGAGAATATGTGGGAGAACCGTTGGGCAACGTGTTCGAGACCGGAGATCCGTTGCACTTGTAATTTTTCAGTTTCCTATTTTATTGGCCCGCTGTTAGTTTTGCTCGAATTTCTCTCGGGAAACTGAGAGCGAGTTTTGTCGACCAGGCGTAACGCGCACGGTTAAATTAGATCATTGTAATTTGTAGCGCAACAAATTGTCCGAGACGGTCGCTATAATTACGATAATATCAGATTTGTTGTAATAAACATATCTGTTTATTAGATTCGAAGGGGTTGTATCATTTTCACACGTTCAGCGCCGACAATCGAGCACTGAAATTCCCGCGAACTCGAAGCAATTTAATCGATTCAACCGAGACTAGAAAGTTACAATTTATTACAATGAATAAGAATTAGAATTTCTTCGCATTCGAAACGTCCTAGTTTGCAATTCAACGATTCATTTTTGTCGTAAATGCATAAGATCCGCGGTCTAGTCGTTAGAAACTAGATCATTAGAATTTCCGATCGAATCGCTTTCGACGCGACGCCGTAATCGGTACCAGAAAATCGCGTTGTCGCGAATAGCCCAGTCACGGCCGTCGTCTCCGAAATTTTCTCAATTCACTTCCTTTATTGGCGATCCCTTTATTGCCCGTTCGAAAGTGTGCCGGCGCTGCAATCTCCGCGATCCGTCGCGGCACATTTCTCGAAGCAAAGAAGGTCGTTTATAAAAAGCGAGAATTCGTATTTACATGTCAAATATGAATGCCGGTGAACGCACGTGTCGGCAGACGCTCCACTAAAAATACGGTTTTGATAAACGGTAGCGTAAACGCCGCGCGTCCCTGCGTGTCTATACAAGATGTTGACGAGATACCTGTTCGCTGCCCGGCGAACGTATCTTCGGACCCTAATCGTTATCGCAGCAATTACACAATCACCGGATAAAGATAGTTCGTAGCTTGTTGCAAGGTCACAAGCATAAATGACCATACTGTTGAGAAATTGCCGATAAGATCTGTGCGTCTCTCACGGATTTTCAGGAATTAACGCGGCCAGACGAATTTCACCGAGCGCCGTTACATACTTCGAACGCGAGATAAGTTTATCTTCTGTATTAGATAAGAACCACTGTTCTTTTATTTGCACTAATCTCGCAGCTTATAAAGAAGTGTCGTACGTGTATGTATGTGTATCTGTGTGTACGAGTGCCTGCGTGTGCGTGAATGTCACCAAAACCGATTATTTCGAACGGTAACACACGAATTGAAGCTTCGCACATACAGGCTGTCCCGAAAATGTCCCGGAATCCGGAAATGGTGGGGTTCCTCGGGTCATTTGAAGCAACTTTTTCCTTAGCGAAAATGTTCTCCGCGGCTTCGTTTACGAGTTATTAGCGAAAAACAGTGACCAATGAGAAGCGAGATCAGCTGACGCGAGACGGCCGAGCGAATGAGCGAGAAAATGATTCGAGAAAATTCTTCGAGTGCGAAGGGTTAATACGATTTGCGTGACGGATCAATTTGTTTTGGTGGCGCCAAGACTGAGAACTTTCCATTAACCCCTTGCGATCCGCCAATGTGTCGGACTCGTTACGACGATTTCCCACACGTAATCTATTAAAATCAAATCTTCCGTAGTCACGCTAGATCGAAATCAAATTCCACTCTTTTATGATCAGCTGGAAAAAAGCGTAGCACCAGGGTTAACCCTTTGCACACTAAGCTACTCTAACTTGAAAATCAACCCTTCGCAGTCGAAGCCATTTAAGCTGTAAATCTAAAATAATTCTTCCGATTCTAATTAATCCTTCTTCTTCTTCTTTTGCATTTTATATAACAAAGTGCATTTCACGAAATGAAATGAAATAACAAACAATTTTTTAAATCTATACTTTGATAATATGAAAATTATGTTGCAACGTGATATAACAATTTCTAATCGTACATTTCTAATTGCTCGGATTTCAGCTTGTTTTCTCGTGTAATATATTTTTAACAATCCTTCGAATGTAAAGCGATTGAATAATATAAAAGCTGCTTCGAAAAATGCAACAGAAATTAGCAGCCTCAAATTTGCCACCGGAGTCGTCGATTCGACTGTGAAGGGTCAATTCATGCTCACAGCTTTCAAGGTTCCGTTATAGTACGCGCGAGTAGTATAACGGCCAGCATTTCGGTTGCACATCTCGCCGCTGAGAGCCGCTTTGTATATCTATTTCCGGCATTTATAACATTTAACTGTCCTGTAAAATGTTTATCCGTAAACTCGAAATTGGCAGGAGAACGATCCCGTGAATCATTCTACGCACGCGGCCGCTGAAAAAGCATTTCGCCACCCACGCGGGCTTACACGCTGCTCGTTCTCATATAACTGGAACCTTGATTTTTCATTCGCTTTGAAACGCGAATGAAACACTGTCTGCCAATTTTCTGTGTGCGCGCGCGAGCCTGCGCGTGTTTCGCTGCTTATCGGCTTTTCTCACGGCAGCTGACGGCAAACTAAACATCGTGTAATTGCAAACGAGGTAACCCTTTCTTTGCACGGTAATCGCGAGATCAGTTTCCACGTTTGCCTTCATGGAAAATCGAAATTCCACTCGTGTTTGCGCGGCGAATTGAAATTGCTGATTCGCGGGGTTGAAAATTGATTTCTCAGGACGATCATTTTTTTTTCCGGGATAAGACACATACACGTTCAGAGTAATAATGTAGTGTATAATAATAAATTATATAGTAATAATATTAATAATTGTATAATATTAAAATATATGGTATATAATATAGTACAATAATAATGGTATAATAATAGTATAATAATAATAATAATATAGTATAATTATACAATAATATATATAACAATATAGAATAATAATAATAGTATAATAATGAATAGAGTGTATAATAATAAATTGTCAATAATCGAGAACAGAATGCGCGAGAGAAAATTCAAGCCGGTGAATAATATTTCGAATATTAATATTATTACTATATAATTTACTATACAATAATATCAATATTAATAATAATAATAACATAGTATATAATATAGTATAATAATATAATAATAATAATCTAGTATATAATATAACAATAATAATATAGTATAATAATAATATAATAATAATAATAATAATATAGTATAATATTTTGAATAACTTTTCGACCGTAATATCACAGCATTAATACTCCAACGAATAATAAAGTGTTTCGACTTTAGCCCCCTTCGAATTAATCGAATTATGAAAGCCGTTATCTCGAATTTCACAATTGAATCGAGAAACAGAGAATCGTGAACGAAAGATTGCCGTAAATACGTTGATAACGTGTAATAACAATGGAACAATTATTATTTTGTGCAACGACTATAATTTATCGTACAAACGACGAAACGAATATTAGCTTCGCCCGAGGAATACTTATACCATGTATATCATCGTGTTAAATAAATTTCGAACGGAAACTCAAATAGTAGTTCTCCGCGAGAACAGATTCCTCGGCGATTTACTCTGCGATGCTTTCGGAGAAGAAAGATGCCTCTGAGGCTGTAAAGTAACGATCTTTCGACGGCTTCGCTCGCTGGTATTATAAATAAATGAAATTCACGGTCTGGTGACCACAATTCGTTCTGTTGAATAGGCAACAGAGTATACAATTACGTGTAAACATTACGTGTTCGCAACTGGAGAAGAGATCTGCTAGAATGCGTTCGGATAACAGAGTATCTGGGTGTCGTAGATTTCGTATTACAGTAATGTCTCCCCAGCTGACGCTCAGATCGTGCACAAAACTGAACAATTTGGGAAGAGGAGATACGATTACTCGAGCCTTGCAGCTCGTTTTTATAATTGTTGACTATCGATAACTATAA